CTTCATGGCCCTTGGCATGTAAGATATTAGGCAGGACTGTTTACATGCATTCACTTACATGGACTCGGCTTTTCCTTCTGTGTGCCTAGTCACCTCCCATTCTGTAGTTTTAATGGAAATCAAGTGATACTTCCTGGGCAAAGCTGCTTTGGAAAAAAATGGCTCTTTTATCAGAATGACTGACATATTAAGTTTAATATAATCTCTTGATTTATTATTCTGCCTCCTCTAATAATTAATTTTTTATTCTTTCCCTACAAATGAAATAATATACATTTTCATGGTTTGCTTTCTAGGACTTAGCAGAAACTGTTCTTTATTTAAAAATTTATACAGTTGGGCATCAGATACTTGATGATGGCACTGTTTTTAAATTCGAATGTACTGTTAATGGGTTTTTGAAAGAGAATAAAGATAATGGGGAGGTTTTTTTTCCCTTATCTGACCTTTGGTGTGCATTTTGAATGGGGTTGGGGATTTTTAATATTTTTGATATTTCTGACATTAGGCCTGTTGTGTTTGATAACGTTAAGGTGGAAATGTCATATGATGCTAATTGAATTAGGTGTTTTTCCTTTTTATGATTTCAAACCATTTGGTTTGGAAAGAGAAATAGGTACTGAACTGGTTTACTTACCTCTTTTAAAAACATTTGAATGAGAAATTTATAATAAAATAAAAATATTCTTCTGTCCTATTTATTGGTTAAGAGTTGAGAGGCAGAAGAGGAAATTAAGAATCTCCAGTTTTTAGCGTATATAAAAGAGAAAACAGAAAGCAAAATTGTGGAGTGAGACAGACCCCTAGAAGCAAAACAAAACAGAGTGGACCAGGGGAGTGTAATCTTCATCATGTGTGTTTAAGATAGTTCTGCTGGGGGTTTTTTCTTCCCACTTTGGGTGCCCGTGAGGAAAGACACTACAAACTCTTATTCTTCAGGCAGGAAGAACTTAAAAAGGCTGGTGTTTTCTTGTTCTGCTTTAAGATCTACCTTACTCTGTTGAAATTAGACCTGAATAGCTTCTGAATTTTAAAGCTCCCCTTGCCTTTTTCTGGCATCTAACTATCAGAAAGAAGGTGATATTTGCCATACTTTAAGATGGAGGAATCTTGTCTTTGGAAAGCCACTGACCCACAGGACAAAGTACTCATTTTGCCCTCTTTTTAAATTTAGCCTGAGGAGTGTGCACTTTATTCAATAAACCTGATAGACAGTGCATATTCTGTGTGTCCATAAAATGCTATACATACACACAGAACAGCGAGTAGGGGAGGAAGACAGAGGTGGAGGTGGGAAGATACGGGATGGGAGGTAAGAGAGAGACTAGAATTTTAAGATAAATTTTCAAACTGTAACCTGGTGGCCTAACGCAGGCACTAGCTCTTAAATATCTTAAGCCCCATTCACAGGTCTTCCCTGTAGTTTTAAAACTTGGGAGGCTTGGCCTGGCCTGGGATAGCAGGGTGTCTACAGAGGAGGTAGATGATCTGATTTGTATTAACTATAGTCACAGAAACATTACCTCTTAGCTGTTAGGGTGCAGCTGCAGGCTGCTCGCTTCTTCCAGGCTCCTTTGTGTGGAACCGTTCCTCAGTGTTCTCTGCTTCGGGAGGGCCAGGAGATCCTTAGGAGTGCATGAGAACACGCCTGTAAGTCTTGATTGTTCCCACGTTGTACCGAGGCTGACCCTCTGTTGGTCTTGTGCCTGCGCTGGGCTGACTTCACTGTGCTCCCTGCCATAGCAGTCTCGGGACCTGGCTTATGATCCCTTTTGGCTACCGCTGCTGGAGCCTCTCCCACAGGTGCCAGGCTCACTGATGAAGGAAGAGGAGGACGCTACGCTGTCCACTCCCCAGCATTGGTAATGACTCAGGAAATAAACTGAGTTAGTAAACTTTGTGAGCCTTTGAGGTTTGCTATTAGGACACGGGGAGACAGAGGTGAATGGTAGTCTGTTCATTTAGAAGCTTAGTTATCTAGGAAGATAAACATGTAGTGACTGTGTGTCACTGTGTGTTACTACATGTTTATTTGTGGGTTAATTATAATAAAAGGATTAAGTGCAGCAGGAAATTGGAGGCGAGACCGAGGAAGGCCTGACCGAGGAGGTAGCAGTTGAGCTGGGCTTGGGGGAAGAGGATTTTGCCAGAATGGGGAAAGGACAGCCCAGATCTTGAGAAGAAGGCACAGGGCTTGAGTTTGTGCTGCGGAGGGGCAGCTCCGGTCTGCCTAGAGGGGAGTGGGAAAGGGCGAAGAATTCGTTTGTTCATTTTCAGCACGTTTTTATATGACACCTTCTGAGTTGAAGG